ACCTGCTTTGGTAATTTGGATGGGGGTGGAAGTCCCTGGGATGGCATTTTTGTTTTTGACGGCCTTGCATGATTTCAATGGCTCGAGTCTTGCCTTGATGTTTGCCTCTGCCATTCATAAAGTTTAGTTTATTAGTGCATGGTTTCGGTGGTAAGTTTGCCCTTTGCTATTATTGACTATTACATCAAGTCATGGTGTTTGAACTTTGAAGATTTTCTGCTCTTCAGTCACATTTACGAGTAATTATTAAGGAACAAAAAAAAAACTCTTTCCGTGCTTTCAACAACAGGTGATAGTAGTTAATTTGTGTTGAACTTTTTGGTGATTCCAAGGCTTTCAATTAACCAGTGAGCTTCTTAATCAGTACGGACAATTCAAAAATCAGATTCAGGTTACCATGTAGCTGAAAAATTTTATGGTCACTGGGGCTAAATAGTTGTTGTACATTGTTATAGTCCTTCCTCAATCATTTAAATAAACGTAAAGAAAGTGGAAGCCAAAACTTCAGAAATATGGAACTTTTTCAGGTTTAGTGCCTCAACTGAGACTTTTGATCTCTTTGGAGGGTCAAAATGAAGAAATTAGTTATAAAAAGTTTCTTTGAATCATCAAATGTCAATTCAAGGCGCTTCTGTAGGAAGGAACGTTCAGCAACGCAAAATATCCCTTTCATATTGATATGTACAAGAAAAAAACAACACAAAGACTCAAAGCTTAAAAAAAAAAGGGCTTCAAATGGACCAATAAACAAGTTGGCCACCACAAGAATTCTAAATTTGTTGTTGAATTTTGAATCTCCCCACTTGCAATTGACTTAGAACGTTTTCAATTCGACTTTTCTAACCTTCAGACGGTTTAATTCCTTCTAGGTTTTTCATAACTTACTTGGATGCACAGAGTGTAAGAGGAGGAGTAGATTAGTATTTTATCTTACTTGGAAGAAAAAGAAGAAGCAGAGGAAATTGGCACAGAAACTGATCAAATCACTTTTATGCTGCCTGCAACAAGAATATTTTCTACCATTTAGACTAGACTGTTTTATGATTTCATTCTGTAAGGGAGGCCTACCTCATCGAAAATTTTGTTGAGAATTTCTTATTTTACATGGTCACATATTTAAACTTAAAAACTTACATCGAACCAAATGCTTTGGGTCCAAAATGAAATGGAAGATAGGAAGAAGGTGTGGAAAATACAAAAAATCAGATTCAGTTTACCATGTACTTTTAGGAATTGGCATTAGGTTAGTGAAATTTTGTCATTACTCCCTCAATCATTTAAACATTAAAGGAAAGAAATTGGAACCGGAGGCTCCACAATGTTGTCAATTTTGGTGCCCAATTGAGACTTTTGATGTCTTTGGTGGGTCAAAACGAAAAAGATTTAGCTATAAGCTTATAAGTTTTCATGAAATCATCAAATTGTCGGTCGATTTCAAGCTGAATATGTGAGGTGCTCAATAATGCATAATGCTTTGGACCCTGAAAGGAGACAAGACAAGTAATCCATCCCCTCCCCCCCTTCATTTTGATCTGTAAACGAGAAAGACAACACAGAGAGGCCACAAAGCTTAAAAAGAATTGTTCCAGAGATTGACTTCCACTTCCAAGGGAGTATAGGTGCAATGGCCCAGATAGAAATTAACAAGTTTATCAAACACATGGGCGGTTTTTAGGCATGGAGGAGTAGCCGCCTCGATCCAACGTCGACCAAGATTCCAATTCTACAATTTAAACTTTCATCATTCATCTTCTGACCATTCATCTGTTAGAGAATTAGAACTCTTTCATGATGAGTTCATAGTGGGAATGGAAGTCTGCCTCATTTAGAACCTGTTGAGCACACGATCCCATTATTAAACTGCAAAACCTACATTAAACTCACACATCAAGAAGTTTTTGAGTCCAAAATCAAAGGAGGAACATCAAGTTAATTAAGATAATTATTATTTGGCAAGAAAAAAAAAATCTTGGCATAGATGACGATTCTTGTGTTATGGGCAGGATTTAATTTCCAAGCGTCAAAGATTTTTTTTTTTTAATCTAAAGAAAGAAAGTTTGATTCTCATTTGCTCCATCCAGCGGTTTCCCTTCGAAAAACTTGAAGCAGAAAAGCACCTTTGATCAGTTGGTCAGGAAATTAGTACTTTTAGCCAGCTCCATGTTTCACTGCTTTTACTTTATCTGAATTTGACCAAAAAAAAATTAATAAAAGATTGGTACTTTAGTTGACAAAAATGCCATGGAGTCACCATTACTTTATTATTGCTAGTGTTTACGTAATTAATACGGTCAGCTTTTGTTCATCTGAGTAGTGGCCACTGGTTAAGTGAGAAATCAGAAATTTCCAATAGCATAAGTACCAAAGGAAAACAACGAATGTTTGGCAAGCAGATCCCAATAAAATCATGCATTTGACTAGTTTAGAAATATCATATTGTCTCATTTTCATTTCTCTGAATCACCACACCATGATCTATACATTCATTATGTGTCTACATGTTTATAACCTATGTATCTGTATATATAACTCAAAACTGAGTTAATAAAAGGGAAAAAAAACCTTACAGAATTGTTTGGGATATGTATTAACTAATGACTATATCCTCAAACACATAGCATAGAAAACTTTGCAGGAGTGGAAGAAAGAAAGAAAAACCAAGAAATGAATTATTTCAGTGGCCTATTCCAGGACTTGGTACAGACTGCAAATTCCGTTCAATATGGGCAGGGGCCGCAGCGAAGTGTTTCTCATTGAAAGGATTTGCTGAGTGACCTTCATTACTTGGAGTAGAAGGTGGAACGCAACCCTCGGGAAGGGGAAGGGCCCTCAATACCAAACTTTCCTCCAGAGAAGATCCCACCTCTTTCTTTTCACTATTTAGGAGCTTCCTTGATTCTGTACGCTGCACCAAACAACATATACAAATAATAACCAAAACTTGCAATCTTGCATGGAGCTTAGCCATGTAGTGCAAGAAAGAGTTGCAAGAAAGCAAAATTTAGCAAGGCTTTGGCTATGTTGTGAGCAAGAGAAGTAGGGAGTCGGAGTGATGAGATTTCTTGGGAATGGAATGGTTATCCATGGCTTTATATGTGAAGAAACGGGTAGAGGGGGTGAGGAGTCAGTCAAGAGGATTTAAGTTTTTGCCTTTTTGGAGGAGGAATAATTGCTTTGTGTTCTACTATTACAGTGTACTTCCAATTGCCTCGTGGAAGTTGAGTAGGTATGGATAAACTAAGCCGCCGGCCCTGGTTTCTTTGGACTTTTCTGTTTGATTTCGTCCTTTGCCTTCTTTTACGGTTTTACCTCGTGCTATTTGATTTGGTATTGTCCTGTATTCACTACGGCTGGCCGCTGACCATATATAAAGAAATCGTTCCTTCCTGTAAACTACTGTACTTTGTATAGTCTATTGTAGCTGGTTCTAATTTGTTTCCACTTTCTATCAATTTTTCAAGTTAATTACATCACCTACGGCTACAACTACTATTTGTCTGCCACCATATGATCTGCAGGCCTGAAGTAAGTTTCTAACCATCATATATTAAGGTTTTGCATGTAGCTCTTTTGGATGGACTAACATGCTTGGTCCAGACTTAATTATATTCTTAATTGTAGGTTATCAAGAATTATTAACTTAATTTTATGAATTCATTTACTATACACTGACAGTGTATACACTTTCACTATTAGATGCACGACACATAATCCGAAATTGAGTTTGAAATTCAAATTTTGCATATGTGTCATATATCCAACCGTGATAGTGTGTATACCGTCAGTGTATATAAGATTTATTCTAATTTTATGCCAGAGAAGTACGAGTTTGAACGATTGCTCCAAGACAAGAGTTTGAATTCTAATTAACTTAATCTTGCTCAAGTTTTTGGCCATAAAGCCTCAACTCCTAATGCGAAACAACCACAGATCACACAACCAAAGAAAAGAAATAAATGTCGCCCTGTTGTCGACAAGGGATTTAGGTGCACAAGACATTTGAGGAAGACAAAAGTAGGTCCGGAGAAAGAAAAGCAACACTAAGTGAGAGATATATGTGGTTGACATTTCAGTGATGATATCAAACGAAGAGACAAATACTACAGTCCATGGTAAACCCTCGTGCTCAGGTTACTTATAGCTGGAAATTTAAAAAGATTGTTCTGGGAATGAAGACATGGTAGACATGGTGAGGACTGCAGAACTGAGATTTTACACAATGGAAAAATGTTACAAACTGGATTGACTTCATATAGAGTTCAAAAGGGAGAAATTGGATCTTGTGGGAAGAATCTTTTGTCCTAAGCAATTTGAGGTGATTAACCAGCACGTGACAGCTGATTGTTCTCATAGACATCTTAATCAAGATTAGTCAAAGAAAAAGATTTTACTAATCCCCGTGAATTAGTGGAGGCAAAAAGTACCTATAGTCCAAAATTGCATTCTACAAGCCCTTAAAACTGCCGTCCATGAGGCTGAAGCAGTAATCTGACATGTCTTTGAAGTTAACAAGTTAACATATCAATTAAATTAACTCTTCTGCAATCAGCATCTCAGATAAGACAATTTACAACTTTTCTTGCGAATGGTTACGCATTCAGAAATCAGCTTGATTAAATAACTAAATCCAGATTAAAAAAAATGGTTGAATCAGCAATATACAAAAGACACTGGACGAAACATTTTCATTCAACTCCGATAATTGTCGAAAGGAATTTGTCATCCAAAGCTTGTTATTTTTGTACCATTTTGTCTCTGGTTGCCTTCAGATAAAGCCCAAATGGCATTTGGGACATCTGGAGGCTCGAAAGAGCCGGATTTATTATATGTGGAAAGTTAAAACTATTCAAACATCAAAGGAGATTAAAACCCAAAAGAGTGCAAAAGTTGCAGGCAGAGTACGAAGAACAAAACAACTATTGGCTATGTATACTCTCTCTCATGCATAGCCATATTTAGCAATGGAAATTTTCGTAACGGCAATTCTTTTATACTTGTGATATGAAAAATAAAAAACTGCTTATGGATAAGTTAATTTGATGTTTCAATGTTACATTTGCTGGAGAAATCAGATTTTAGTGCTCTTCTAGCAGGGGATCTACAGAGATTAATACATCTTTTCAAAACAATCATTAGCAAGGAAAGAATCTCAAACAATTTACAGAATATCGAAAATTCAAAAACATACTGATTAATTCTAATTACTGACAAATAGAACTTTGGATATACACTTCTGAAGCGCTGGTGTATGTTGCTGTTGCCTTACGATAGACACTCCTGAAACGCTGGTGTATGTTGGGAGAATTCTGCACCCTTCCAAGGCCTCACAAGGCCTACGGCTATGTTGCTGTTGCCTTTATCTGCCAAAAAAACGACTCTGCATCTCTGGATGAGGTTCAATATGAAGTTATACAAGCAAAAGTGCTAAACGCTGCTGCCTCTGGATCGACTACAATCATGTCATATGAAATCCTGTCACAAGAGAATTCCACACCCTTCCAAAGTGTCACAAGGCCTATGGTTATGTTGTTGCTGCCTTTATCTTCAAAGGAAACAACGCAGCATCTCTGGATGAGCTTCAGTATGAAGTTATACGAGCAGAAGTGCTAAGCCCAGCTGCTTCTGGATCGACTACATTGCTGGAGATAGACACATTTAATTCTGTTGCAAACATTTAATCTTGCAGACTAAGCTTGAGTTGTATGCATAAACTAATGCGAGTAAGAAGCAGAACTGGGGAGATAGATTGCTTGGAATATCAGAAAACATTAGAAAAGGGAGAAACTTGAGAAGTTCCTGTCAAGTGAAGAATCCAAATTTGACAACCTCCAGCATCTTCTCCTTTGCTGAAATATATACCAACATAATTATCATCATTCTGGGGATATCAAGAATCGGAAAAATGATATAGCGATTCTCTCATTTCATTTATTGAGCAGAAAAGAAAGTTTCTGGTGTTAGCATTGGCACAACAATCAAAAAGTCACATGGAAGAAAAAGCATATTCCTGAAACAAGCCTTTTGACTGTTGCAACTCCACAGCTTCTAACATATTATGTTTCTGTGTCCCTACTAATATCTTGTTATTTCTTCTTCATCTTTATTTTCTACTAGATGCAGCATGCATTCACTTTACAGAAATTGGCCATGAAAGTCTTAAATGCTTTACAGAAATTGGCCATGAAAGGCTAGCATGATGGCAAGATTAAGATCATGGAATTTCAATAGAACAGAAATGTATAATTGCAGACAAAGTGGAAAAACTCACTACACTCTGTATTACACCTCATGCTGTCAGCAATAAAAATACAAACACTGCTAAGGTATGCTGAAAATTTATACAAACATGGAACACTGCAATCTACTGCTTTACTTAATTCCAAGAAACATAACTTTCCTATTTCTTATGTTTGGACTACTAACATCACAAGTAAGAACAAGGGAAATGATATCTTACAAGACATGGGCTGAAAGTTTGGGCAGTCAATAAATCCATTAGAGCTTGATGGTCAATCACAAATACTGTACACAACCAACTCTAAAGGACTGAAAGAGCATCATCTGTTCCTTTTAACAAAGAATCAATAAACTGGCAGGTGTTTGACAGCCTATCTTTTTTCAACACCACAGATATCACCATGCTCCATGTGGTTATATCAGAAAACTTTCCCTTCACCAAACTACTTAAAACCTTCCACAGCCTATCTGTATCCTCTCCTCGAATTAACCCATCAACTAATTTACATATACTTGAAGAGTGAGGAAGATAACCTTTGAAGACCATCTCATCCAAAATAAGTGCTGCTTCCTTCAATTGCATTCCATCACAAAGGCCATCAAAGAGTTCCCTATAAGTCACCACATCCGGAAAGCACTTCCTTCTCGGCATATCTTCAAATAACTCGTTAGCTTCTTTTAGCTTCCCTGCCATGCAAAGCCCACCAATAATCACATTGTAACTAATTACATCTGGCTTACACCCCTTTGCTTCCATCTCATTTAATATTCCAAATGCAGAATCGAAGTCCTCCTCCATACAGTATCCATGTATCATTGCATTGTATGTCGCTGTGTTCATTGTGCAGTTATTTATTCTCATTTCATCTAACAATCCAAAAACATCCTCCCGACGACCAACCTTGAATAGTGCAGAAATCAAGGTAGCATACACTGTGGAATCCAATTCCACCTTTTTCCTCATCATCTCCTTCTTAAGCTTAATAGCGGAATCAACCGCATTACTCTTGCAAAGCCCTTTAAGCAACACAACATACACAAATGCATTAGGCTTCAATTTGAAGTCCCTCTCCATCATTCTCTTCAATCTAAAAGCATCATCTAAGTGTGCATTCGCACAGAACCCATTAATCAAAGTCCCAAATGTCACCACACTCGGCACAATACCTCTCTTAAGCATTCCATCAAACAAATTCAACGCATTACCCAAATCCCCTTGCCTGCAGCAAGCTTTAATGAGTATACCATACGTACAAGCATCCGGGCAAGCGTACTTCTCAACACCCACAAAAACTTCCCTCATTTTCTCAAATTCCCTGCAAATTGACAGACTATTTAACAAAGAATTCACCGAGTTGATTGTTCTTTGGCAACGAAAAGATGGAATTTCATCAAACATCTGGAGGGCTTTTTGGGGCAAACGAGCTCTGCCGTAAAATGTAATAATGTTACAAAAAATTATCTCTTTCGGGATTATTCGAGTGTCCTGTCTTAATTTCTGGATTATTTGTTCTAATTCATCAAACATTTTGGCTCTACCCAACTTTGAGATAATGAGATCGTAGGACAGACGAGAGTAGCGGAAGGGCTTGGGACTTGGGTTAGGATCATTTGGGTTAGGGTTGAGGAAGAGTTGGAAGGCAAGTTTAGGGTCTTTTTGCAGGCGAAGGAGAGAAGAAAGTCTGAAAGGAGAGATTTTATTGAGTTTTTCCATTTAAATGCAACGGCTATGGAAGTTGGCAAATAAATGGGAGTTTGGTTCCCGCCTGAAGATGATGGATCAAAAGGCATTTCTAAGGCCACTATTTGGGCCGTAGTGGAAAATACTGGCCCATGTATTTTGTTTCTTAAATTTTTTTCGGGGTGGGATTTGGGCCATGTTACTCCATTAATTTTCTGTATTATCAGCTAAATCGAGAACAAAGAAAAATCCTGTGAAATTGTGTAACGTCAACTGACAATTTGAAACTTTTATTTGACATTTTGATGTAGAGATCCCAAAAAATATGAATATCAAGGAGCTAAGCCAATTGTATAAGCAAAATAAACTGTGTAGATGCTTTTTCTTAACACAAATTGCTTTTTGTCGTAGAAAAGATTTCAACACAGATAAAAGCTAATGTGGGGTTTTTTTTTTCTTGAATACGACAATTAGGTATAGATTATCATTTTCGTCATAGGAAACTTTTAATATTAATTACTAAAATAGCTTATCTCAATTAAGACCTGATTTTTGTAATTGGTCCGTCCAAAATTACTTTCTCGTAAATCAAAATTTGTACCCGGCCACTTGAATAATACGTGAGATTCCCTAGAAAAATATTTGAGATGTTATAGTTGGAAAGGAATTGGATCAATCAATGAAGCTAAAAGAATTAAAAAGAGAAAAAAAAAGAAAAGGAAAGGCCATGAACAGCTGGTTGAAAAAGAATTAAGTCACAAATCAAAATGAGATGATAAAAATGGTTCAACCAGGAAAAATTAATTATTACCGGTCTAATTCTCGAAGAACCCGGAATAACAAGTACAAGAATTCAAAGTAAAATGTTGGCTTTAAAAACTTAAAGGTAACAAGATCTGCATGGAAAAGGAATCGAAGGGCGAAGGGTATAGTTCAAGGTAAAACCGACAGAGGAAAAGTTAAATAGGAGCAGCTTTCAATTTTAAATGAAGCCTGCGTTTTGCAGTAATTCTAAAGTCAAGAAAAGCAGATCTATTTGACTGCTGCTTTAGCAGCACGACCTTCAGACTGAAATTCTCTCTGTTATATGAAACAGTGGCTGCTGCTGAATTGTCGTTGTTTTACTATTCAAATTTTGCCAAGGTCAGTGAACTGCACTAGACTGTCACCCCAAAAAAAAAAAAAAGTGCATTAGATCAACAATAGTTAGTCATTTTTCCTTAATAAAAATGAATCGGCTCTCAAACTAATAAATTGAATTTTTCTATGTTCAAGTTGATTTGAATTCGATAGTTCCACTAGATTGATTCGATTTCGAGTCGAGTTTTGACTGAGTCGGCTTGTGAACGTTCGTGAGTGACTTGATTCGCTTGCAATCCTATTAATTCGTGTAGCATGTTCTTGTTATATCAGTGTACATTGATATACTGATTAACATTAATCTATAGCTTATATAAAATGTTAAAAAAGACACGAAAATGTTCTTGGCATTTGGATCAGAAATTTGAGTGTGTTTCATGCGGTGAGCTCTAGTGATAACGAGACTGCAGTTCTCGCTTTGGTCTATTAAATATTTCTAGTGCACCCTGTACTTATCAATGTACATCAATTTCACACGAAAATCATAATTCATATGTGATATGTTCGTCTTTGGTTCATTCACTTCCCTTGTCAGTTGTCACGAAACCCAAAAAAAGAAAAATTAATGTTTAAAAACCCCAAAAGCAGATGGGAATTACAACCATCCAATCGGTTTAGAATTGACGTGATTCACAAATAATGAAACTAAGCAGCAAAAGAAAAGGGTTGCCAGATGAGATTTAGACAGCTTATGTTGTAATTAACTAGCCCACATGATCAATGTGGATGTGATTATGGATAAAGAGATCATCGAACGGAGTGCTTCTCATTCATGCGTCATTGCAGTTCACTTGTTCAATAAGGAGGTGAGCAACACAACACATTGTTCAATGTCGGAAAACTTTTGTTAATTCTGAAAGAACGCACAGGTTGTACAAGTTACAGATCTCAAAAACTCTTTTCCCCCCTCCAACTTCTTGATGATTGGCTGGAAGTGGAACCAGATTTCTGCATTCTCTGAAGGCTCGATACCAGCATCATGTGATGAAACATTGATCAGCTCTCTTAAAAATAACTCATCATGTTGCTAGATATCCAGAATGTATATAATTCAAGAACGCCAAATAGCCTGCAAAAGCAACAAGAAATCTACCTCACTGATTAATCATGGCTGGACTTCCCTTCAGCAATAACTAGCAATGCAAGTGTATATATCTGACTTTCCTAAGCAATGGAATAATCAGAACTGCGCGGGATATACCTTGAAACAAGCACTAATGCAGTTTCTGAACCAACGTGCCATCGGGGCTTTCTTCAGTTTCTTTAACTTTCCCAGCAATTCAATCTTGGAGAAGTGATTGTTGTAGGGTGGAGAAGATAAAAAGAAGGCCCTTGTGGGAATCAATGGAGACCATAAACCACTCTGCTCATAATCAAAGTCGAATTCTGAAGCATCAAAGTACTTCCCCAAAAGCCTGTCTGATAAGCTTTTGGAAACCATTTGGATGTAGACTTCTGAACTACCACCATCCGGGAAGAAAGTTTGTACCAATTCCTGGGGCGACTCTAATGAGGATGATGATGATGGCTCTTCAGAATTGGCCATAAAGTTGATATAATATGATCTGGAGAAACGATGGTGGAGCCGAAATGGTCTCTAGGATTCAGAGAAAGGTTTTTGAAAAGAGAAAATGCAAATCATAGGAATAATGAGTGTTACGGGTGGGGCTTTTGTAATTCAGAACTTTGAGTGGTTGAAAACTTTTGCTTTTCAAGTTGCTGATAAACTTTCATGGACTTCAGGGCAAGATACCTTTTTTCTTTGGGTTGGGATGATATCCTTGGGGCTAATGTTCATATGGGTAGAACCTTTTGATATATGCAAAAGAAATTGGTTTGCATTTCAAATAAAAGTTTGCTTATTAACTTCTGACGAATTTTAAGCTTAAATTGCTGGATACTCTACAATTATACCTCCTAAAGCCCAAATCTCTTTTCTGCCCGCGCATGAATATTGGAATGTACAACTTTTATTGGACATTCACATTATTAGTCGTGTATTTCCAGAGAAAATTTGTATCACAAACTGCTAAAATGTATCACAAACTCGTATTATCTAAAATTAACCGATAACCTATACATAATTGCAAAAGCAAAATGAGATTACTGATAACACATTTATACAACAATATACATTCGTCAAATTGATGGAAAATGGTGGTTTTGGAATATAGAAATCCGTTATTTTTTTGGGATAATTTCAGAAACCTCCCCTGAGGTTTCTGACATTTACACTTACCTCCCCTGTGGTTTGAACAATTACACTGACCTCCCCTGAGGTTACTAATCCTTTACAAATTCAGTCCAAATGATTAAAATATTATTTTAGAGAGTGAAATTAGAATTTTGTACCTGATTTGTCCTTTGTGTCACATGTCCAATGAATGACAAAGTATTACAAATTAATTAACAATTAATAAACTTCAACGAGCGTAGTTTATAGGCAAATACGTATTGCCTATTTAAAGTACCAGTTCTTTACATGTATTTTACTTTCAAACATTTACTTTATCACAAATATTATTCTCAAATACAGATTTGTATTTACTCTCAAATATTTAATTTTTGTTAAATACAAAACCTACCAGTTTTTCTTCCGTAGAAATATTAATATGACATTTTTTCAATTTTAGTCACAAATATTTATGTATTTAACATAAATTAAATGATTCAGAATAAAATACTCATAAAGAACTAATACTTTACTCGTGTAATGGATGAAAGCCATAAAAAATTAACATTTTATAGGCCATTTCTTTTCTTTTTTTTTAATTTTAATTTATATTAAATAGATAACCTATCGATTTTCTTTTTGCAAGAATATTATTGTAACACCTTTTAATTTTTAATTACAAATATTGATATGTTTATTATAAATTAAATATTAAAAAATAAAATACCTGTAAAGAGCTGGTACTTTAAATAAGTTATGCGTATTTGCCTATAAACTACACTCCTTACTTAAATCAATAAACTACACTCCTTAACTTAAATCAATAAACTATACTCCTTACTTTAAATAGTGTAGTTTATAGGCAAATACGCATATCCTATTTAAAGTATCGGCTCTTTACAGATATTTTATTTTCAAATATTTAATTTATGATAAATATATTAACATTTGTAATTAAAAATTAAAAAGTGTTACAGTAATATTCTTGCAAAAAAAATCAGTAGGTTATCTATTTAATATAAATTAAATATTTTTAAAAAATAAATGACCTCATAAAATATTAATTTTTTATGATTTCCTCCATTACATGAGTAAAGTATTGGCTCTTTATGGATATTTTATCCTGAATCATTTAATTTATGTTAATACATAAATATTTATAACTAAAATTGAAAAAGTGTTATATTAATATTTTTACAGAAGAAAAACTGGTAGGTTTTGTGTTTAACAAAAATTAAATATTTGAGAGTAAATACAAATATGTATTTGAGAATAAATATTTGTAATAAAGTAAATATTTGAAAGTAAAATACCCGTAAAGAGTTGATACTTTAAATATGTAATACGTATTTGCCTATAAATTACGCTTCTTAAAGTTTATTAATTGTTAATTAATTTATAATACTTTATCATTCATTGGACATGTAACACAAAGTACAAATCAGGTACAAAATTCTAATTTCACTCTCTAAAATAATATTTTAATCATTTGGACTGAATTTGTAAAGGATTAGTAACCTCAGGGGAGGTCAGTGTAATTATTTAAACCACAGGGGAGGTAAGTGTAAATGTCAGAAACCTCAGGGGAGGTTTCTGAAATTATCCCTATTTTTTTTCCTTTTTTTGGGAGGCCTATGCAACATTTGGGAGTCTCATTGGCAAATCTTGAAAATAGTTACTGTAGCACTTTTTTTATG